AATTTGCTGATAAAAGACATAGTTTTAAGCATTTTTAAATTAAAATTAGTCTATGTAGATTTGTTTTTCCTTGTTATAGGTCAGGAAATGTCAAGGAAAATGAAGAACCTCATATACTGAGCTGAAGAGGAGCCTTGGAATATGAGCCATAATTTTGAAGTGGTTTTACAAAGACAAATATCAGAATATGCACAAAGCAGAGAATGATAAAAATCTCAAGAATAATGGAAAGTAGGGGTACAAATAAACAACCCACGTAATTGCATACCACAGCTGGCAAGCGTAGGGTGTGATGTAAAACTGTCGGTCCCGAGTCCATGGATGTTGGGCTGGTTAAAGATTACTACCTCTGCTTGGATCAGAAAATGCAATCAAATTTCTGGTATTTGGGGGGTAGCGTCTCACCAGCCCCAGGAGGTACTTGTCGTCAAATTAATATGACGCCCTTGAAGATCATTTATTTATAGGATTACTCCACCTCCAATTTGAGCTAACCATAGTGGATATACTACGCTAAGACATTAATTGGACCCATGTAACTAGGTAAACATACCATGGTACATTGTTGTTTTAATATTAGGAGTCTTCCTGTAAGTTCTGTAAGTATATGTTCTTGTCATGATGAAGAACATTTGTGTACCTTTGTACCATACTACAGTTTATGGAATTGATTCAATAATTTTTGTATTTTACCTTTCAAACTAATCTGTAATACTGTAAAACAGTGCTAAAACTCAAAACATAACGTTAATGGGAAGAGGGTACCGTATTAGTTTACCAAGCTAGGGTGCTGTATATTTCTGAGGTTCATTTGTAGTTAATTTGTGATTATTGAGTATTTTATTTCTAAAAAAAAAACGGACGAAATAACAATTTAACTTCTTTCAAATTCTTCTAAAATCATTCAACTGGCAAGTTATTTCTTATTTTAAAATATAGATCAATGCAACTGAGTCTTTTCCTTTACAGGTATTCGGAATTATATGGGATTGTTGGATAGAAATATTTAAACCTTTGGTAAATGCGAAAAAATGGCTATCCATACCCTGTAATCAGATAATATCATCGTAAAACCAGTTTATTCCGAATATTTTTTATAATTCTATATCATTATTGAAATTGAAATATCTGTTAAATGACTAGGTTTAGGTTTGCAGAACGGTGAATAAAAATTTAACTTAAAAATGCAATAAAATAAAAGGTGCCCCATTAGAAATATGTTTTAATCAATAGGGGTTGAAATATTAAAGTGATTATTGGTTTCAAATTGGTGTAATAATAAAAGGTTTTATAATTACCGGAATTATAAAATATGTACTAAGATTATAGTCTATTTTTACTTTCCTATCTGTATACAGATATAAGGAAAGTATAGGAATCATGATTTTTTTCGACCTCGAGTTTTTGACGGATTTTTACGTTTTGAGGTCCCCTGAATCCGTTTTGACTATTTTCGCGATGATGTCTGTGTGTGTGTGTGTGTGTGTCTGTGTGTGTGTGTGTGTCTGTGTGTGTGTGTGTTTGTATAACGCATAACTCATGAACCGATACACGGAAAAACACCAAATTTCAAACTTAAGCTTTATTCCAGCGTCTAATGAGCTGATTAGATTTTGGGCAGAGTCGGAACATCTGGGGGGGTACTTTATAGGTGGTCATTTTTATATTTTATGGAATATATCTGTTATTTACGTTTGGGGAAGAAAATTTTTTAAATAAAAGTTACTTCTTATTTTATTATCTATCATTTTTGTTATTTACAAAATTTTCCTAAAATGGTCCGTATTCGAGAAATTTGACAAAATGTAAAAAAATATTTTTTTTTATAAAAATTGTTCAAACAAAAGTTGTTTGTAATATAATTCTCTATAATTTTTGTCCCATAGATAATTTCTCTAAAATGGACCGTATTCGAGATATTTGAGAAAATGTGTAAATTTCGAAATTTGAAGAAAACTCAAAAACGGATAAAGAAAAAATCAATAAATTTTAAACTTAAGTTTTATTTCGGCCTGACGTGAAATGATTAGATTTTGGACAAAGTCGGAACATCTGGGGGGGTACTTTATGGGAGGCCGTTTTTATATTTTATGGAATATATCTGTTATTTATGTTTGGAGAAGAAAATTGTTCAAATAAAAGTTACTTCTAATATTATTATCTATAATTTTTGTGTTATGTCAAAATTTCCTGAAATGGTCCGTATTCGAGAAATTTGACAAAAAGTGCAAAATTCTGATTTTTATGAAAATTGTTGAAATAAAAGTTGTTTGCGATATCGATCTCTATAATATTTGTTCATACATGATTTTTTTTAAATGGACCGTAATGGAAAAATTGTAGGAAAAGTGCTAAATTTAAATTTTTCAGTATTTTCATTTTCAATGAATATCTATAGAAAAATGTTTCGCGGTAGATGTATGTGGACAATGTATATATTTAGTTTATCCTCTAAACATTTATAGAGATGCTGCAATAGGTTGTACACAATAAACGGAAAAAGCCTGTAATAACTAGATAGGAAAGTCATGTGTTGGACACATCAGATTTTTATGTATGAGAGAGTAATAAAACAGCATTTCTAATGCAAAACGTAGTACGGTCATTTTAAATATTTTTACAGAATAATCTAAATATTTCCTAAAATTGTAATAAATGTACCTGAGCTATTACAAGTTTTGGGTCTTTTATTGGTCCTTTATAAACATAAGCTGTACAGAACAATAGAAAAAGGTTTGGACAGGCCAAAAGCCCTGTGTATTAAAGATTACATAGCCGTATCTTAAGATTATTTTCAATAAGTACCTATTTGCTAATTTTATTTTAATTCCAAGAATTTCTTACAGTAATCGAATTATAAGTAGATAAATACCTTCCCAACAAATTTCACCGAAAATGCGATTAGTTGTTTCCATTTAGTAAGGAGGTCCAAGTTGTGTATTCTTGACAGTTTACTAAATGTCGTTTAGTTGCAACTTGCAAGGTGCAGTGTGAATTCTAGTGTGATCATGGAAAATTTGGAAGGGCCGCGTAAACGACAAAAAAATCGGTCCTTTAACAGTTAATGAAAAAACATTAATATTTAATTGTTTTAAATCATTTACAGACAAACATTTATGTAAAAGTGTTGATGACACAGTGGAATTAGTTAGTAGTACGCTTGGTGTTGGGAAATCTACGATTTACAGAGTTGTTAAAGAAGAGAAATGTGGCGAGTTTCAAACAGCACATAAAGCTCCAGGAAAACCAAAATTTCAATTAGAAAATCTTTTGAAAGGCTTTGAAGGAAAGTGCATGCGTTCTTCTTTAGAAAAGAATTTCCGACAGTAGACAAAGTTTTTGCCACGGTTCGAGATGATAAGGATTACCCTGAAATGAGTCGAAGCACACTATGGAAACTTTTAAAAGAAATAGGTTTTCTATGGAAAAAGCATTCCAGAAAGTCTATTTTAATAGAAAGAAGCGATATTGTAGTATGGAGAAGAAATTACCTAAGGACTATAAAAGAAATGAGAAACCAAAGAAGCAATATATTTTATTTAGATAAAACATGGATCAACGAGGGACATAAACCAAATAAATTTTGGCAAGATGAAACTGTTACAAGTCGAAGACAGGCTTTTTTAAATAATTTATCTACTGGTTTAAATCCACCATCAGGAAAGGGGCGCAGACTAATAATAGTACACATCGGTAGTTCAAACGGTTTTGTTAAAGGTGGTTTATTGACTTTTGAATCTACTCGTACCGGTGACTACCATGAAGACATGAATGCTGATGTCTTTAAAGAGTGGTTCGAACAAATTATAGATCTTCTTCCTCAGAACTGTATAATAGTAATGGATAATGCAAGTTATCACTCGAGACTTATAGAAAAAATGCCCACAACCAAGTGGTTAAAAAAAGATTTACAGAATTGGCTAAATTCAAAGAATATTAAGTTCCATCCCGGTTCTGTGAGAAAAGAACTGTATCATTTGTGTTCCCTTCATAAAGAGAAATTCAAAAAATATGAAATTGATGAAATTGCAAAAAATCGTGGGATGACGGTGGTTAGATCACCACCATATCATTGCGAAGTAAACCCGATTGAACTGATATGGGCACAGATAAAGGAAGAAGTTTCAAGAAAAAATAATTCTTTTAAAATGAGTGATGTTAAACAGTTGTTTTTTGGAGGCTGTAAATAATGTGATGCCTGAAAACTAGGAAAAGGCAGTAAATCATACGATTAAAGAAGAAAAGAAAATGTGGAAGTTGGACAATATTACTGATGAAATGATCGAGCCACTCATTGTAAATATTGGTTGCGACAGTTCATCTTCTGATTTCGATTCTGATTTGGATTTGTGGGTAAGAAGTAATTTTTATATTAAAATTATTATTTATGAACGTAACGTTGTTTAAAAGTCAAAGTTTATACCCTTATTTGACACAATATTCTTAACATACCTTGTGGAAAAATAAAACATTTTAGAAAAAATTGCACTTTTTTACCTTCAGCTGTTTAGAAGTTATAAGCAGGTTAATTAGGTGAAAATATAAGTGTATACTCGAGGAATAACTTCAGAAAATATTTTAACTGTCTACTAAAAGAAGTGATACGCCTATGGATTATGAACGCTTTATTATTTTAATACTCTCTCATACTTTAACAAATTGAATTCTAATCAGTAACCAATTTTTTACCAAATGTTAGTAGAAAATGAAATAAAAATACACTCACAACTTCAATTTATGCAGTTTGTGGCCTTATTTTAAAACACACTTTTCCACTAATATTCCCTTTGGATTAACGTTAATTTTAGCTACATTTTGATATAGTTTTTAATATTTTTAATATGCTTTTTACCACTTAATTTAACACTTCAACACAATAGATCATTCGCTCGCAAGCACAGTTGAAATAGTCTTCATAGTGGAGATTCTCGGTGTTCCTGTATTACAGAACACACAAACTAAAAATCAATGCAGCCAAAACATAATTGTATTGACAGCGTACGTCTTATCTTGATTATTTACATAAAAAAAAACAAAACATGTTATTTGTCACATCTGACAAAATGTTGACATAATTTTTGTACAATCTATACAATAATTTATTTTTTATGTAACAAAATGGTTAACAAAAGTTTATTGAACGTTATATTAGTCGGTTTGGGGTTTATGCTGGTTTTTACAGCATTTCAAACCATGGGAAACATACAGAAGACGATTTTAGCAAGCGTACAACTCGACGATCCCGACTTCGATGGAAAGGCATACTACAGTTTAGCAATCATTTATGTGTCTTTTTCCCTATTCAACTGGACTGCTCCTTCGATTATTAGTGTAATAGGACCTAGATTATCTATGGTTATAGGAGCAGGAGCTTATACGTTATATATGCTTCAATTCGTTGTACCGCAAGGATGGTTATTATATCTCTGCAGCGCTATTCTTGGAATAGGCGCAGCATTTATATGGACAGGTCAAGGAAATTATTTAACCCTTAATTCTACGAAAGAAAACATATCCAGGTATTCTGGGATATTCTGGTGTTTGCTTCAATTGAGTCTCTTCATTGGTAATACGTTCGTATATTTCACTTTCAGAGGACTAGAGGAAATTAACAAAACAGTAAGAATTTTCGTTATATTAACTCTCAGTAGTGTAGGAGTTGGGGGATTACTGATTTTACTATTTCTACCAAAAGCTACTAGAGATGACGAAACAGAAGCGACAGATAAACCAGAAAGCCCTTGGTCAGCATTTGTTGGTGCAGTGAAACTATTTTGCACTTTCAATATGTTGTTGCTGAGTATTACATTCATATATACAGGATTAGAATTAGGATTTTGGAGTGGAGTGTACAGTTCTTGTATTGGTTTTACTAAAGCGCTTCCCAATCGTAAAGAGCTTGTCGGAATGTCCGGTATTTTTATGGGACTTGGAGAAATTATTGGCGGCGGTCTTTTCGGCATACTGGGAAATAAAACAGTAAGATATGGTAGAGAACCTATAATTGCTGCAGGATTCGTCATACACGTTGCAAGTTTTATAATAATTTATTTAAACCTTCCTGATGAATCACCGTTTTTTGATACATTCGGGTGTGCTATAATTAGCAGCAGTCCTTTCTTAGCTATTTTATGTTCCTTCCTTTTGGGTCTAGGTGATTCTTTTTATAACACTCAAATATATGCCATGTTGGGATCAGTTTATGCTGATAGCAGCGCTCCAGCTTTCGCTATATTCAAATTTACCCAGTGTGTAGGAGCTTCTGCTAGTTTTATTTATGCCGAATCTTTGGGATTGTATTGGCAACTTCGAATTTTGTTGATCACTGTTTTAATTGGTACCGTATCCATCATAATTGTAGAATTGAGAGTAAAAAAATCGTCGGCCGAATAAGTTTTTGTAAATTTATTGTATACGTTAATTTATATATTTATAAAATATATTTTGAAAAAAATCCAAGAGTTTTTTATTTAAAATATTAATCCGAATAAGTAAACTATATTGATAATGATAAGATTGATAAATAACTATAATCTTTCTCCATAGGGAACAAACCGAAGGATAGGCAAGGTGAGAGGGATGTTGTTTACACCACATAGGCGTATCAAATTAATTTTAATATGGTAGATATTTTATTTTAATTTTTTAATTTGAGTATTACATTATTATAATATTTATAGACTTATATTTATTGGTTTAAAATAATAAACGAAAATAATCTTTTTAAGTATTTATTTAAATATTGGACATTCCAAAAAAAATGGCTGCCAGTGGGTATTTAACAAGTTATGATGTTATGATATGGTAACCTTGTGGGTCAATGATTTAGATAGTTATATAGATTAATCATTAATGTTTTTCAAAATAAACATACGTTGAAGTAAAAATGTGGGTAATAATTTTTTTTTACTATATTTAAATGCTGAAAATCAAAGTCAAGATGGCCGCTCGCAAAACGACCTGCTTTGAGCAATCTATACAACTATACAGGGTGGCGCATCCTATACGCATCAGTCTCTATAAGGAAAACGACTTAAAATTTGAATTTTTTTTCTTAATAGGGATATACAGGGCGATTAACACTACAAATTAAAAATAATTTGGATTATACAGGGTAAAAAAATTCAAATTTTAAGTCGTTTTCCCTACAGAGATCGACGCGTATAGGATGCACCATCCTGTATATTATGTATAATTAACCGTTTCAATGACAGCAGGCCACCGGGTTGTCATGTCTAAACTGCCACTTCCCACTTGTCAGCATTTTAACAGGTCCTTGGAAATAGGCACTCCAACGACCTGTCAACACCTATCGATGTTTCTAAACTTTTCACTAATGTTCCATTACCTGACAACTAACACAACTAACAATTATAAAAGTTCAACATTTGCAAATAAGTGTATTAATAAACGTAATTTATTAGCGTTATAAAAAAGGTCAATAAAAACGTCAAAAGAGTCAAAAAACGTAAAAACAACGTAAGAACGTGAAAAAAAAAAAAGGAAAAACGTCAAAAAACCGCCCAAAAAACATCCAAAAATGTCAAAAAACCGTCAAAACAAACCAAATAATTATATTAAATCATCGACAAAATGTATTCCAGGATAACAAATCGATAGTATTATCATCATCTCTATTATTAATTATCAAAAACAAAAATGCAGTTTATTAAATTATCAACAAAATGTATTCCAGGATAACGATCACCATCTCTATTATTAATTATCAAAAACAAAAATGCAGTTCACTTGTTACTAACTGAAGGAAAATAATAACATAAAAACGTCAAAAAAAAAACGTTAAAACAAACAATTCAAATAACTTTATTAAATCATCGACAAAATGTATTCCAGGATGAGGAATCGATAGTATTATCACCATCTCTATTATTAATGATCAAAAATAAAAATGCAGTTCATTTGATATTAACTGAAGGAAAATATTTACATAAAAACGTCAAAAAACCGACCAAAAACGTCAAAAAAACATTAAAACAAACAATACATATAATTTTATTAAATAATTGACAAAATGTATTCCAGGATAATGAATCGATGGTATTATCACCATCTCTATTATTAATTATCAAAAACAAAAATGCAGTTCACTTGTTACTAACTGAAGGAAAATATTAACATAAAAACGTAGAAAAAACGTTAAAACAAACAATTCAAATAACTTTATTAAATAATCGACAAAATGTATTCCAGGATAACGAATCGATAGTATTATCAACATTTCTATTACTTATTATCAAAAACGAAAATTCAGTTTACTTGTTACTAACTGAAGGAAAATATTTACATAAAAACGTCAAAAAACCGACCAAAAAACATCAAAAAAACGTTAAAACAAACAATTAAATTTATTAAATTATCGACAAAATGTATTCCAGGATAACGAATCGATAGTATTATCAACATCTCTATTACTAATTATCAAAAACGAAAATGCAGTTCACTTGTTACTAACTGAAGGAAAATATTTACATAAAAACGTCAAAAAACCGACCAAAAAACATCAAAAAACTTCAAAAAAAACGTTAAAACAAACAATTAAATTTATTAAATTATCGACAAAATGTATTCCAGGATAACGAATCGATAGTATTATCAACATCTCTATTACTAATTATCAAAAACGAAAATGCAGTTCACTTGTTACTAACTGAAGGAAAATATTTACATAAAAACGTCAAAAACCGACCAAAAAACGTCAAAAAAACGTCAAAAAAACTTCAAAAAACGTTAAAACAAACAATTCAAATAAATTTATTAAATTATCGACAAAATGTATTCCAGGATAACGAATCGATAGTATTATCAACATCTCTATTACTAATTATCAAAAACGAAAGTGCAGTTCACTTGTTACTAACTGAAGGAAAATATTTACATAAAAACGTCAAAAAACCGACCAAAAACGTCAAAAAACTTCAAAAAAACGTTAAAACAAACAATTCAAATAAATTTATTAAATTATCGACAAAATGTATTCCAGGATAACGAATCGATAGTATTATCAACATCTCTATTACTAATTATTAAAAACGAAAATGCAGTTCACTTGTTACTAACTGAAGGAAAATATTTACATAAAAACGTCAAAAAACCGACCAAAAAACATCAAAAAACTTCAAAAAAACGTTAAAACAAACAATTAAATTTATTAAATTATCGACAAAATGTATTCCAGGATAACGAATCGATAGTATTATCAACATCTCTATTACTAATTATCAAAAACGAAAATGCAGTTCACTTGTTACTAAATGAAGGAAAATATTTACATAAAAACGTCAAAAACGGCCCAAAAAACGTCAAAAAACTTCAAGAAATCGTCAAAAAAAAAAAACGTTAAAACAAACAATGCTATCTGAATTATTTTTTATTAAATCATCAACAAAATGTATTTCAGAATGACAAATAAGTATTTTCTTAAACCGAATTTAAATATACCTGGTATATAACATAATGTCTAAAGACGTTTATATCACATAAATACATAAATAGTACGTATACAATAAATTGATAGTTAAAAAAATAAAAGATATTCGAGATACCCATTAACGGCAGACCTGCCGCTTCTAATGTAAATCGTCAGGTTTTCAGATTCGTTCGGGTCCGTATCAAAAATAAAACAAAGACAACGAAAAACAAAAAAATATCATCGAATCATTTCGACAACAGATGCAGATGAGCTGGCTCTTCAAACGATTCATATCACAACTGGCTTCTACCCAATAACTCTTTAAGCATCAATCTCTGTCGCAAATTTAAAATTTACAAAGCTTATTGAAATGTAAACCTGTTTTATCGTCAAATAGCATCTTCAGATTTAGCATTTATAAAGTTTTTGCTTGGTAAAAAATGAACAAAAAGAATAACGAAAGTGAACAAAAGTCTGAAAGGCTCATGGACAAACATGTAATGTGTGGCCTCTGTTTCTGCATGGTCCTTATAAGAGCATGAGGAGACCCGGTCCCCAGACAAACTGACGGCTGTCACTCACTTCCAATCACATCCGTCACCTCGGACAGTCCGTCTAGGTACCTATATTCAGAAGTGGGATTGCCAGTAGCGTACGCAAACAAAGTAAAGTTATTATATAATTTTTGATAATTGTGATACAAAATGCGAATAAAATTAAGTTGATTCGCTAAGAAATTGTAATTAAAAATTTATCAACAGTTGTATTTTACTTCCATACCAAAGGCGTACAATAATAATTAGTTTGCAGAGAAATTTCATCAGTAATTGACGTAAGAAACCGATTTAATTGCCACACGTGCTCAACAAATCTCCAAATATTATATCTCTCAAATATTTGGACTGTATTTAATAATATGATGAAGTTGAAGCTAAAATGAAAAGACCATTGGACTGGGTAAGAGAATAATGATTGAAAATAATGTTACGTTTCGTATAAATTGATATTTTTTCCTAATTTTAATTAATTATTTAAATACCATTCTGTACATAATAATGTCGACAATTTGTTTTAAGTTGCAATCATGTACAAGGATGATTATTTAATAATTAATAAACATTAGTTTCATAACTATAAATTATGCAGAAATTATTAAGGGTAATATCAAGGGGCTTTTTCCGCAGGGCAGGATCCTCCCTTGTAGACGGCCCCAGGTTATTGAGAGCCAAAGGTCGAGGCATGTGTCCTAAGTATTGGAATTGATATTTCAATGTATATTTGTTATTAAATTGAGCCCCATATTTGTGTATGTCTAGTTGCGACATATTATTGTATAATTGTTCTAAATTACTGAGGCCCTTCCTATGGGGCCTCAGTATTGCATTCGTGCAGACAAAAAATTTTCTGACCCCCATTTTTTAAAACTTTTTTTCATGTTTCTGATAAATATCCTCAGATCAATACGGATCCACGGTCACAAATCTTAATTGTTCCACATCGAAGACCTTAGATAGATGAAGTCAAGTAGATGTGTTATATACTGACTTTTCTAGAGCTTTCGACATAATTGACCATGTTAAATTTCTGAAGAAACTTTCCAGCATAGGTTTAAGCACTCGGCTACATCTGCTAATGGCATCTTATTTTCAGGACATATTTCAGTATATTCATTGTCTTAGTAATGTGTCAGAAAAGTTCCAACAGCTATCTAGAATTCCGCAGGGATCAATTTTGGGGCCCCTTCTATTCACTATTGTCTTTAATGTTATAAATTTCAAGGATATAAAAGTTTTAATGTATGCAGATGATTTTTGGCATTTTTTTTTCCTGAGAATAAACCGAGAAAATCTCAGTTTTAATTGTTTTTTTGGCCGTAAGCCGTAAGCATTTTTAAAATTTTTATTATAATACATTTGCGTAACTTTTGAAGGAACTTTTTGGAGTCCGAAAATGCAAAAAAAACTTCGTCTGGTCGCCTGTGTATATGTATACCGGCACGATAACTCTAGAACGAAAG